TAACAGAGTTGCATCATGAAATCAGATAAGTGTTAATGTAGCTGAATCTAATTACTCAGGTTAGAGTTTTTGTTGTTGTTGAGCAACTACTTAGCGTGTTTAGTTCTCTCTGTCTTTTGTTTGTTTGTTGAAGTAAAAAGACTACAACTTTAAGATTCCTGAATCAGGTAAATAAACCTATTTCTAGGGCTAAAACTAATTTGTTCTGTAACTTCTAGGAATAACTGAAATCTACTCCTCCATATCCTAATGATTGTTCAGATATACGCTAGATAGTTAGAGCTTTTGAAAAACTAATGATTGTTCATGCTTTGAGCCAACAAATGCTAATTGGGCCGTGACTCTGACTTGATTTGTGCGAAGAATCAGCAAGTTTCCTTTCATGATTAACATGAAAAGCATATTGAATTATGCCTAAAAAATTCAGACTCATTTTACCCTACACTGGACATGCATAACAGCTTAAGTGCAGAGCCAATGATAGTTTGGGTGTAAATTGTCACAAATCCCCCAATACTTTTTGAGGTGTTTCCCATGAAACCCCCAATATTTTTTTCCCCAGTGAAGACCATATACCTTTCCCACATATAGCCCATTAGTAACGAAATTGTCCCACAGGCCAAAAAAAAACCTTTTTGGTGGCACGAGAGAGTGAGGAGTTTATTTGCCAAGCTAATGACAGGTTTTTTGGGTTATTGTGGAAGACTTTTTTTCGTTTTTTATGGGAAAAACAAAAGACTTGGGGGGTTTCATGGAAAAGCATTGCCAAATTGTTGCTGCGTCTCTTCGTTTTTTCTTTTTTTTGTCCGTTTTGTTGGGTTTTTTTTTTGAGTGTGGGGTTTGTGGTGGTTGGCATGTGGGTTGTGAAATTTACGCCACATTTGCTGGGCTCTATTATAATACACGCGCACACACACACACAAATGAGCCATTTTAACTTTTTCATTGCAGTTCAACTTCAAGCCCCTCGCAGTTTATCAGGAGGCACAATACACGAGGACAAGTCACTTGAGTTTGCTAAAATCAATGTAAACAATGTTCCTCAGAACGATGATCAAAGCAAGGGAGTCTTGGCTTTCTTACGGCAAAAGGAAAAAACAAGCCAATCTATTACCGTGGGCGGTCCTGATGAAGGATGTACTACTATAAGGCCAGGCATCGCCTCTGATGTAAAGTTTGGAGGATCTGGCTCATATCCCGATCTACCGTGGGTCTCCACAACTGGATCCGGTCCTAATGGAAAGACAATATCCGGGGTCACTTACAAATATAACCAGAACGAGATCAGGATTGTTTGTGCTTGTCACGGCACACACATGTCACCCGAAAAGTTTGTTCAGCATGCAAGTGGCGATTCATCATCTAATGCAGAGAACAATACTGCGGTGGCATCGGCCAAGAGCTGATCTTATTAAATCACAGCAGATTATGCTTTTTAGCTGATCTTTTTAAAGCGGAAGGTAGGATTATTGGGTTTTTGCTTTTAAAAGTTCCCCCCTAGCCTGCCGTGTTTAGTATAAAAGGAGGCAGGATGAAGAGTTTGTGACTTATGGACGTAATGTGTTTCTCTTTGTTGTTCTATTGTATCTTATACTTGCTGTTTTTTTCTGCAAATGTCATGGTTGTTAAAAGCAAGTAAATGCTAGTAGATGTCATAATCTATGATGATTTGTGGTAGCACATTTGTGCTGTGACATATTTGGGAGCAAAACTACCATCATTGAAGGGTTGTGATCTAATAATGTTATTACTGTCATTCCTGTTTATTAAAAACCACTGCAGATAATTTCACAGTTGCAGAAGGCTTTGGTGCACAAGCTTTTGCCTATCTATACAATATCTATTAATCACCTACTTGGAGAGAGCAGGAGGGCTTGGATAAGCATGTGTTTCTGGTCCGGTCATTAGGGAAAAAAATAAAAAATAAAAAGAAAGGAAAAAGAAAAAAAAGATGAAAGAAAAAAAAGAAAGGTTTAAGCATGTTTTTGCTTTAGGTGGCACTAGAGGCCACCTTGTGCCACACCTTGGGGCACACCCCTCTCTCAGCTACAGTGCAGAGGGTCGACTTGAGATTTATTTAAAAATCTCAAGTGGGCCCCCTGCACTGTAGCTGAGAGAGGGAGGTGTGGCACAAGGTGTGCCTCTAGTGTTTTCCTTTTCCTTTTGGTTTCATCATGATTGTTCTTTTTTCAGTTCATCAGATGCTCATGACGAGTTAACCAAATGAACTCAGTTGGGCTCTGAAAGATTGTCTCAGCTATACAAAGTGCGTTCATATTTACTTCAGGCTTGGATGGTTTTCTCAATGGTTATGTATTGTTTCAGCTAAGGTCGGGCCAAATATAAACCAAGTAGAACAGCGATACTAATTTGGCCAAATATAAGTCAAATTAGTACAGAAATTAATATTCCATAAATAGTTGCTTACAACACAAGCGCACGTAATCTCTTTCTTCTTTTTGAGGACCACATAAAATAATTTAAATATTTAGCTGATGAAATCATTGCTTTAACCATTTGTTACACACCTAAGTTCAGTGAACAGCGCTTGAGAAGAGACAGATTGTAACGTAAACAAATCATAAGAAGACACAACATCAGCTAATTAATTAGACAGAGAAAAACATGGTGCATAATGATTTATTATAGAGAAAGAGTGGTACGTAATCAAGAACTGGCATCAGTTGACGTTGAACTCCCATTTTTGTTGCCTTGTGATGGAATCATCATATTTTCGTGACTTCCTCCCTTTTGAAGATTTCACTCAAGTGGTTTTGTTTGTGTGTGGGTAGGGTTGAGTGTAGGGTGTATTTCGTCCGGATCCGGCTCAGATATGATACTCAGCATATTCATATTACTTTATCCATCACAGATACAAATATGGATATACCTCGATAAGTAAAATTTATATTTGTCTCCGCTAAAATCAGATATGGATGTTGATATACATGGAGTATATAAGTAGATATGCATGCAAACACAAAAGGGATATGAGAAAACTAGATAATATTGAAAAAATTGGTCAATGTGATACAAGAGAGTTCATAATATGTTCATTATATTTGAAAAGCTAAGATGAGATATCTTGATCATCAAAATTAACCTCAAACCCGTAAATCTAAGGATTAAAACTGTGGATATCATCAATAAGTATTCTGATACTTTGGATATCAATTATGGATCAAGATATTTCGGATATGGATCTGAATATTTCGATAGATAATCATATTTATAACCATATCATGTCGTTTATAGATTTCATTAACCATATTTGAACCCTAACAGATTCAGATATATTTCTTTAGATATGGATATTTTTGGGCGCACCTTGTTGGGTGTGATGTTGACTGATATATACAGCCAGAAGTTGTGGATTATTTTAAAATGAGTCATCTCTAGAATTCAATTCTTTTTTTTTTTGAAAAAGATTTTTTTTTTTTTTTAGGAAAGCGTCGTCATGCCTAAATTTATAAAAAAACCTAATTTTTTTTTAAAGATATTGTTAGAATCGGATGCGGAATGAGTGGGGAGGTTGTATATATACTTTATTGTTAACTAAAAGGTTATTATTTACAGTTGATTGGTCTCCAAATACAGTATGTCGAGCGGTAAACTATTAATATAGTAGAGGCATAGCAAAGAAAAATAAAGAAAGTTATTGAGGCTAAATTTAAGAAAGAAGAAGAGGAAGGGGAAAACACACAACTTTAGACAATTATCAAATAACCCACCATAGCATTGAAAATATCAAAAAACGCTTTAAGATTAGGGGTCACTAGAAAAGGCCACGCCTGCAAATGGCTTTTAATATTGGTGGGTAAAATTACAAAAGGGAGATATCTTTCTATTGAAAATTATGGTTCACGTTTTTAGGGATTTCTTTTGAACAACATTGAAGTTGAAGGAGGTTTTCTGATAACCCCTAAAATTAACCGTGTAGTTTCTGGTATTTTGAAAGTTAAGGGAGTTACTTAATAATCATCCAAAGTTAAGGGTGGTTTTGTGAAATTTGCTCTCTTTCATTGCATGTGTCCCTTGCAAAAATATTAGGGTTAATTGCAAAGTGACCTCCAATAGTATTGTCCAATTATGAGTAGACCACTACAGTTTTTTCCGTGCAAATAGACCTTAAGTGATTTTCTTGACTCTTAAAATAATCAAAAAGGTTTTGAAGAGGTAGATAGACCCCTCATACTTCTATTGGTGAGGATAAGTTCCCAATTACTAAATTTTTTTTTATTCATAAAAGAATCCGAGATATTCACAGAGTGTTTGTGTGTAGAGCCCTGCTATTTGGCTCGCGGTCCAACCGCGAGCCCCCCAACTCGCAGTGTGGGGAACAGGGGGTGGGCCCCACAGTAGTGGGGCCCACCCCCTGTTCCCCACACTGCGAGTTGGGGGGCTCGCGGTTGGACCGCGAGCCAAATAGCTTTTTGTTTGTGTGTATTCACACAACTAGATCTACTAGAGGTCTATTCACGTAAATAGAACTAAAATATTTAAGATTGGAGGAACCAAGTTCTATTTCCCCAAATAATGAGAACGTAAGCAAGCTTCCAACGCGACAGCCACTGAGCGCGCGCGCACACGTCCGCCTCGAAACCGAATATTCCTACTTAACTCATCTCACCTCAAGAAATTGTCGTTTTCCTTCCACAATCTCATAGCATCCTCTTTTGGAATCTTAGTTTCCTTTGCTTTTCTCTAAGTACTATAAACAGGACAAAAAAAAAAAAACAAATTGCTTCCTTTTAACTCTTTCAAATAAAGATTACATTCATGACTTCCATTTCTCGAGCTCTTTGCTCTGATGGTTTCTTTACAAGGCCTCCGGGAGTTCACAGTATTCAACAGTTAACTTCTTCACTAATTTCGTCAAAGTTTCAGGTAATTTGGCCTTTTTTTCTCCCCAAAAGAATTGAATTGACGTCTTAGCCACTGATTTTTATTTATTTTATTTTTATTTTGTTATTTTTTTCTTTTGGTGTGTGTGTGTGTGTGTGTTAGCCTTTGCTGAGAGAACTGAAGCAGGTTTCTTTGAGACTTGATATTTCTAAAGGGATCAAGAACGCGTCTCAGAGATTGCTAGATTTGTTGGTGGATTCTACGTTCAAATTTACTGCTCAGCCATTGCTCCCTTCTCAGGTATTTACTTACGGCTACAAATTTAGAGCTGCATACATGATACATGTTTGGTTGCACCAATTTTGCTGTGAAAGTAGGAAGCAGGGAAATTCCTTGAATTGTACTAAAATGTTACTTACAAATATTACAAAGGGGTACAAAGTTAGAATAAACAAAAAGGATTTTGTTAACATAAATTTCTCCCTATCTCTCTCCTAATTAACACGTGTCACTTGTGTTAGCTTGACTCAATCCATATTTGATCAAATCACCCAACTTAGTCTAACAGCTGAGATATTTGTGGGATTGAGATAGCGGGGTTAATGGTTAGAAGAATATGAAGAGAATATCTGGGGGCAGTTCTTGAAGGGGTGGAGACAAGTTGAAGAAAAGCCTCTATATAAAGAGTGGAAATTGCTCTCTGAAAAAAAAAAAAAAAAAAAAACACAGGAGCCCCCTTAAAACTTCACCTTCTTCTTCTCTCTGTTTCTTGATACTATACTGGTATCAGAGCAGTTTGAAGGCCCGTGTTCTTTTCTTTTAGGCATCGAAACAAACGCCACCATAAAGAGTCTTTTTCTTTTTCCAGATACATATTTCAAAGCAAGAAAGTTTCTTCTCTAGCCTTCATGTCAAGTCCCATCAAACTGTCATAGATCAAAATTTTTTTGAGCTCCGTGCCTGAGAGAAGACAACAATCTTCTGTCTTTTTTTACGGAAAATTCCTTAAGGACCCAAAATATGGCACTAATAGAGGGGACAAGTGAGATGTCCCCCTCTTATTGGATAATGAGTTGATCATCATTAATGATGACCAACTCATTATCCAATAGGAGGGGAACATCTCACTTGTCCCTTTTATTGGTCCCATATTTTGGGTCCCCGTAGCAAAGCTCTTTTTTTACCCGTGACTCGTGAACCTTTTCATTTGTTTACTAGTTTTTTTTTAAAAAAAAAACCTCCCTTTCCACTACAAGGGAAAATTATTTTCAGCCCCTCCATTATTTTTCAAGCTCAGCAGGGCCATTACAAGCTTAAGGAAAAATTTACTTCAGCACTTTACAGAATTCAGCCTTCCTTTTCAACTAGCTGCAGTTGTTCGAGCAATTCTTTGCAAATCCCATCCGTTGCAACTCGACAGCAGCAGATCATCTCCAAATCTAGCCCGAATTGACTTCGATAAGTGCTTCTCTGGTCAACACCACTTAGTGACGACACCACCTTTAAAATTAACATTCAACTCCTCTTGCATAAGTATAATTCTTGTCGTATGCAAGAGGGAGACAATGTCATAGAGCATATTAATAAAATGATTGTCATGGTTAATGAATTATCCATTGCTAGGACCGAAATCCTGAAAGAATGTAAGACAACTATATTAGATAGTCTTCCCCTTGTCCTTGCTGTAGCTGTCACTACATTAAGAATGTACCCTGCCATTAAATAAGTTGCTGATCTTCCTATGAACCTAGCGATAAAATAGAACTTGTTAACTAGTAGGAAAGAACCAGAACTAAACATAATGCAGCAGGAGATTTATTATGTCTATCAGAGGAATAATATTAGAAGCTATAAAAACTTGGTCCTAGTAAACGACAACCACGAGGACCGAAATCGTAACAGTTCAAGAGAAAGAGAGCACCCAGTGGAGCATGCTACAATTGTGAGAAGTTCGGGCATTACAGGTCCGCTTGCCCACAAGGTGAAAAGTAGGAGAATAAGGGAGGCTAAAGCATCTGGAATAAGGGGCACTAGCAAAAGAGAGTTCATCGATGTGACAGAATGCAACACTACAATGACGGATATCAACAGTTGGTGGATCAACTCCCGTGCGACATGGCATATCGTAAATGACAAGAATGGAGTCACATAGTTCAACTAGCTGAAGAAATGAGAACAGATAATTTATATAGGAAACAATACCTATTTCGATGTAGAATGTATTGGTTCGTATAGATTGGACCTTGGGGACAGTGTTCTCATCCTCAAAGGTGTATTCTACATGCTAGAAACCGGCGCAATCTGATCTCTGTTCCTACTTTGAAGAAAGGATTGGTAGTTAGGTTCTACAATGATAGGATTTCTATAGGCAAAAATAATAAAATGTATGCTATGAAAAAATATGTACTTGAGTATGAATTATGCATTCTTCCAGTAGTTTATAATAATTTTGATAATAAAATTTTTAATTTGAACTACTTGTCCTATTATATTTATGAGTCTGAATTGCGGTATTCTAGACTAGGACATGTTAGTATTTTAAAAATAAAAGAAGTTATCAGAATGAACTTATACTATCTGCACTATGTAACATTCAATTGTCACCATGTAAACATTGTTTAACTAGTAAAATGGCCAGGAAACCTTTTATTGGCAGAGAAACAACTAATAAATTTTTAGGGTTGATACACTCGGATATTTTTGGTCTCCTAAGTGTTAAAACTCATAGTAATAAAAAATATTTTATTACTTTTATAGATAATTATTCTAAGTTTGCACATGTTTATCTTATCTCTAAAAAATTAAAAGCATTTGAATGCTTTAAGAGATATAAGAAAGAAGTTAAAAACCAACTTAGAATGAAAATAAAAAAAATTTGAGAACTAATAGACGTGGGGAATATATCTTCAAAGAATTTGAGAGTTATTGTATTCAATATGGAATCAAAAGGTATACAACAGTGCCGTATACACCACAACAGAATGATGTTGCTGAAAGAAATAACAGATTATTACTAAATGTAGTTAGATCATGTTGTCTCACTTTGGTCTTTCTAAAAAATTTTGGGAGAAGCATTATTAATTGCAAACTATAGTTTGAATAGAAATTCCACCAAGTTAGTTATATCTATACCTTATGAGTTATGCAACAAGAGAAAGTCTAATTTGAGTCATCTCAAGAAGTGTGGATCTATAGCCCATGTTCTCATTCCATACTAACTAAGAGACGAGTTGGATTTTAAAATAGTAAAGTGTGGATTCATAGGGTATTCAGAAAAGTCAAATGATTATAAATTCTACAATAAAGAAAAAGGGGTCATTGAAAGTAGAGATGCTAATTTTTTAGAGAATCTAGAGAAAGAGGAACATGTTTAAGAGTAAACAGAACCTCTAACTGTAATAGATGATGATTATTGTAGTGTTGTTCCCACTAATGATCCAAATATTATGAATGAACCTAACCTTAAAAATGATGAAATACCTATAAAAAATAATGTACCTCATCAACCAGTTGTAGGCAACAAAAATTAAAAATACAACCTTCATGGATGTGTGATTACTATTTATATTCACGTGAGCCATCTTGTTTCTCGGTATATACAAATATAAAAAAAGAGATCCCTTAATCTTCTCTGATGCGATGAAATGATATGAATCAGATTTATGGCTAAAAGCTATGAGATAAGAACTTGATTCTATAAAAAAGAACAAGGTCTGAGAGCTATGTGATCTACCGAAAAAAAAACAAAAGTCATAGGATGCAAATGAGTGTTTAAAATAGCGTATTGATGGATCTATTAATAAATTCAAAGTAGAGTTAGTTGCCAAGGGTTATAACCAGAAGGCATGAATAGACTTTCAGGAGACATATTCTCCTATAGCTAAATTTGCATCCATCATAATAATTTTGGCTATTACTGCATATTTTGATTTGGAGTTATTCCAAATGGATGTTAAAATAGTATTCCTCCATGGAGAGTTTACATGCAATAACCTGAAGGTTTTTAGGTGAAAGGACAGGAACATAAAGTTTAAAAATTAATAAAATCTATATATGGTTAGAACAATCTTCTAGACAGTGGTATCTTAAATTTCATGATACAGTCACCAAACTTGATTTTATTCAAAATAAATTAGATTATTATGTATATGTCTTAAAAAGTGGGAGAATTTATTATATCATCCTTATATATGGATGATATATTACTCATCGAAAATGACATAGAAATATTGAACAAAACCGAGGTATATCTAAGAGAAAAGCTTGAGATGAAAGACATGGGAGATGCATTATATAATCTTAGAATCTAAATAATTAGAGATAGAAAGTCTTGAATATTAAGTTTAACCAGGAAAAATATTTAAGATTAGTTCTTAAAAGGTTTGGAATAGAGAATTTCAATCCGGCACTAACCCCGTTAGTCGAGATTGTGTAAAGAGCAAAGCCCTGGAGAGGGGTAAAAGCCATTAAATGTTCCTTATGCTCAAGCAGTTGGAAACTTGATGTATGCAATATTGTGAATTAAAATTGATTTAGCTTATGTTGAAAGTCTGGTTAGTCGATATCAAAGTAATCTGGGACCAACACATTAGGAAGCTATTAAAATAATTACAAAGTATATCAGAGGTATATTGACTCACAGATTGGTTTATCAAGCTAACTAGCTTGATCTCCTCAGTTACTCCAATACCGATTTTGAAGATGATAAAGATGAAAAAAGTCTACTACGGGATAATTGTTCATCTTTAGGGGAGGAGCTGTTTCTTAGAGTAGAAAGAAATAAGGGTATGTTGCTAGATACACATAAGAAGCTGAATATAGCTTGCAGTATAACAACTATACATGCTACCTAAATAAGATGATTTTTATTTGATTTAGATTCTCAATTTATTAGAAGGACATATTGATATTTATTGTGATAATCAAGCAGCGATTGACTTGATTAATAGTGGCGCGAATAGCTCCAAAGGAAAACACATTGAGATCTAGTATCACTACATTCGAGATATTATAGAAAAGGAAGAAATAAAGTGATTTACATCCCTACTATAGATATGATTGCTGATCTTTTGACAAAAGGAATACGAACAGAATCATTTAATAAACATGTACGTTTGATGTAACTTAGGAATAGATAAGTCCTAGTAAAATTTTATGAATAATAAAATAAGAATTACTACTCACGTATAGTGGGAGTAAGGAGAACATACGATCTCATAGATAGTGGGAGGCATATCACTTGGTTAACGTGGTCAAGTGGGAAATGTTAGCTTGACTCAGTCCATATTTGACCAAATCACCCAACTTAGTCGCAACGACTGAGATATTTGTGGGTTGAGATAGGGGGGTTAATGATTAGAAGAATATGAAGAGAGTATCTGGGATAGTTCTTAAGGGGGTGGAGAGGAGTTGAGGAAAAACCTCTATATAAAGAGTGGAAATTGCTCTTTGAAAACTCACAAAAAACAGCTTACGGGAAATGCCTCCAAGTTTTACTTCATGTTAGGAAACCCCCTACTGGTTCAACAACCATATACGAGTCACGCTCAATTGTTAGTCATCTAATTAATTGGTTATATTCAACCTGATGGTTTGTTTAACAGTAAATAAATAATTTTTATCATTTGTTTCATAAATGATTACAATTTTTATCACTCGTTTCATAAATGATTAGAACTGAACCACATTTGTATTTGACTCTTTTGCTTGTCAAATATTAATTACAATTTTATTGCTTATAGATTGTTTAATTATAGATATGATGTTATGTTTTGATTCATTACACATCTTACTTAAGTACTATACAAGTTTGGCAGGCTTCTAGCTTTGTAATTAAATATTTAAATTTTAGATTTAATTAAAGATCATAATTATGTAGAAATAATTGTTAACTATATAATTAAATGCTATCTGAAAAATAAAATTCTTTAGACTAACAAAAGCATTTTGTGAACTAGATAAGTATTTTCTTAATTAAATAGTTATGCAGCCTGGGCAAGATCTTCTTCTGTGATCGGCATGTGGGATATGCCGGTAGCTCGGAGAAAAATATTATAAAGGAGGTTCTCACGTCGGCGAGGCCCCTTACGAGCTCAGATCTTTTCTAGCCCTAGCTGCTCCACTTCGGAGAGCTTCGCCGCCTTCAAGCCATCTTTCTTCATTTTTGACCGTGTAGGGTAAGCCGGTAGAGTTGGGGCTAAAAAGAAAGAAGAATTCTCTTTCCATTTCTTATTGGTTACGAGGATGTTTCACACTAGCCGAGAACTGCCGACCAACTGAAGGCAGAAGTGTTCCCTTGCCCCTGTTAGCTTTGGTACATGGCAAGTGACCTAGAAAAGCCATATAGTTGGACTTCAATTGCACTGGTGATATGATAAGTACTCAGAACACCCGCTGAAGGAAAGGGTGCAGTAGTAGACAAAGACTGAACTTAAGATGGTGCTAATACATCGGCACCAAATCACCCCCATGGTGGTGAATAGCCCGATTGGACAGTGGAACAGACATCGTGAATGCACTTGGGATGTCGTAAGCCTTCACCCATTAACCATGGTGAACTTTGAGCACATACAACTTGTACCGCCGGAGAAGAGAAATTCAATCCTAGTTGTGAGCTATAGAAGCATGTGTGTGTATAATCGTGCAATATTAGCCATTAGAATAGTTTGAGCAGATGATCGGAGTTCTAAAAGAGCAAAGATATTAAAAAAGATGATCGAAATCCTAACAAGCAGGTTTGAAATTTTTAGGGCTAAGAAAGAGCACCAAAGAAGAGAGGAGAAGGGGATGTTTATAATCACGGTCGAGTGCTAGCACCTAACTAGAATCCCCAACAACCTTTGACGGTTCTCAAAAGCAAAGCGTCGTCCTCGTCAACCAAAGCATTTGTAATGCATGATCTTCGCTGACGTCAGAAACATCAAATCACAACTATTTTCCAAAAAGTAATTTGAATCCTCGAGGTGTCAAAATTCGAAACGATTCAGTTTCTCTCAAACTTGACTTCCTGAGTCCGAGTGAAAGGGGTTATTATTGTATCCTGAGAACTACCAAGTCTAATAAGCTCTTAAGAGTTGGTCACGTATTATAATTATATGGCAAAGTCCTATAATTTGAAAGACGGACCTGAGTGTGGGCACCACCAATTTCTCTAGCAGTTCGAGTCAGAGAAGAAAGAAGTTCTCAAGACAGGATGTGTTAAAGGAATCCGAGTCCGAGACAAAAGACGTCTTCTGCTCAGACTTTACTAGGAATGTCTTGAACGACGACATAGCCTATTACCTTCACTAACGTCATTCACGTTTAATGTATGGCCAATCAACGCCCATACTTCACCGCATAGTAACCATTTGCATTAAATGCTTGACCAGAGTCATTATGACTTTTTGAGCTAGGGTCAAAATGACTCATCGAACGATGCTAGCACTTCCGCCATTTGTCACTGTCACATTACATGTAGAGATGGCTAATTCAGCCAACTGCCCACGCATGTGATGTGTAGTCTGACCGACCAACTGCACCGACTCGATCAAATTACCAATGTTCCCCAGGATTCCTCTATAGTGGATAATCTCACTGCATCAAGGTACACTGGATAAAATCCAAAAAACCAGATTCTGCATTCTTAAGCTTGCTTAATCTATCACTCATTTGAACGTCTGAGGGCACACCGAGGAAAATCTCCTCCGACTGTCTAACAGGTGTTACCTGTGCAGGAATATGTTTGCTACTGATTAATCAACCATCAGAGAACATTAAGGAACACTAAACTCCTTCAAATATCCGTCCACTCATACAATTAATTTTCTAACATAAACAAGTTTGGTATTAATAAACTATAAATTATCAATCAAATAAATATACTTTAATATTAGATAACAGAAAACATTGGCCTCAAAATTGGAAGTTGAAAAAGATCCAGAAGTATATTCGATCTCGTATTAGAGGATTCTAAATGAGTACAAATACGAATCAATAAGTCCATCTTAGAGAGGAACGTGCAAGTCACATGCGCACAATATTTCTCTCAAATTCCGACCGACGAATTATTGCTGCAGTTTTGAAATCAATCGGTAGTCTTTTAGAACCCCTTGGTTTCGGTTTCCTTTTGGATGCAACGTTCAGTTTGTGTGCCATCCTGTGGAGAAACTGGTAGTTGTTGGTTAGGGTTTCTTTATTTTGTACTTTTATGAAAAAATTGTTAGGCGTTCATGCTTCCTTTGTTTTTTTTTTATAGATTGTAATTTGGGAAATTGTTGGATCTAGCTAGTTCTCAAGGAAATGAACTTTTGTTAGTCATGCACAATACGTACTCGATGAAATGCTTCCGAGAAAATACCACCATAGATGTGCATTATCTTAACTAATTCTAGTTAGAATATTTTTACTAGTATAGTATTATACACACAATTAAGTTAATGATAATTTATTTTTCATAGTTATAGAAAATAAATATGCGTGCTAGTGATGCATGCTTTTACAAGATAACTTAATGATGGGTTTATGTAATAGAAAGATAATAATCGGGGGTTGCCTAGTTGAGGGTCAAAACTAAAGGAGGTTTTATAATAATTACCCAAGAAACAAACAAAACAGGGAGAATTGAAAGTGCATTTAAAGCACAGATGTATTCCACCTATCTCATATGGAAAATGATTTAAGGACCCAAAATATGGGACCAATGGAGGGGACACGTGATGTGTCCCCTCCCTATTGCATAATGAGTTGGCATGACCAACTCATTATGCAATAGGGAGGGGACACCTCACCTGTCCCCTCCATTGGTCCCATATTTTGGGTCCCCGTAGCAGCACTCATATCATATTGCAGCGTTTTAAAGAGATTCAAAAGCGTAATAAATTTTAAGAGTATAATTAAGCCTAGTAATACTCTATAACTGAAGTAGAAAAATGGTCTAAATACGTAGGGTACCATGTTTCAGTGTTGTTTGGTTAATTTCATTTATTTCATCTAAAATGTATTCAGAAAGAGATGATTGTGTGCGCATTAAGTAATGATTGTTGGATTTTAAAACTAATTAATATGTAAAATGCATGCGAGCCAGAGAAACTTTGCGCCAGTTGATGAGATCGGACCTTGCTGGGTCAGAATTGATGCTGACCGCATCGAAGGAGAGGTGCCGTCCGATTTCCCCGAGGGATTCTACATAAGGAATGGTATGCAGAATGCGCCTCTTTGTCTCGTTCATTCAGCAAACTACTACTGTTTTATTGTTTGTATTTTGTGGTAGATGCATTGTCAAAATAATTACTTGGCCTAACACTTTTGCAACTTGAGATTTAAGGTGTGCAAACAGATAGATATTCTATTTCACTCCGCTATTAAATTCCCTCCCTTTTTTTTCTTTTCCAAATTAAGGTATTTATGTTCAACGTCCTTTTAAAACACGAAAATCGGTATGTACTAGTAACAACATGTTGCTTTTTTTTTAGGAATTAAGCGATTCTATTGTATTGCATTAAGAATAATTTGAGTACAGATATAACGTGGGCTATCATTAGCATCTGAAAACGAGGTAAATTTATATCTATAAGCAAACTGAGCTAAGTTATGCGCACGAATATTGCCAAAAAGACAAACATGGCTGACAATAGCCAAAAGATAATATGGGTAAGCGATAACCCCATGTAGCATAAGAACAAAATTGAGACAATCTGATTTGATGACGATATCCATCCAACCCAAAGAAATAGCCAATCTAAGACCCGATAAAAGTGCAATAGCTTCAGCAGCCAAAGCATTTGAAGGAGGGCCAAAATCATAAAAAGAGCAAATATGTGAACCAAGGAGATCACGAGCAATAATTCCTATGGCTAAGCCATCGAGATATGCAACAACATCAATATTAGTTTTCACAATATTTTGGGGCGGCGCTGTTTAGGAGTTGTTGGCTATATTGTGGGAGAAAAGACAATTTTGCCCTTGTGAATAGTCCTGCATGGACTAAGGAGATGAATACTAGAGGGTTTATAATGGTTCTCCTCTTATTGGGCTTTGAGTAGTGTTTTGGGTTTTGTATTGTTTGGGCTTTGCATAACACACACGCGCATGCGCCATGCCGCATCGCACCGCACGTGCGTAACGGCTACGTGAATTAGGGTAACGGGTGCGCAGGATTTGGGAATGTGAGCTTGGATCCAGCGACCGTTAAGGATTTCTCAACCCTATATATACACACCCCTTATTTACATTCGGAAAGCACACAACAAGTCTCTTCTTCATCTTCTCTCCTTTGCTTTCAAAAGCGATTTTCCATTCAAATTTTGGTATTATTTTCGGGCAACCTTCTTCATTTGAGCAGAAGCTCTGAACTCTCGTCCGAGTACAGAGGCCGGCCGATTCCGGGGTTTTTTACTGCTAGGGTCGAGAGGATCATTTGAGCTAGGGCGATAGACGGATCCTTAATCTTCTAGGGTAGTATTTACGCGACTACTCCCGATCAGGCCAGATTTTCTTATTTCTTTTATTTCGGATTTTGCATAACTTTTGTTTCGGATTAAGAATATAGTTGCTAAGAATTAATCCGAAATTACTGTTCATTCAAAAAATTTTAGTTTCTGTTACTATTCATTACCGTTCAACTGGATAAATATTAAAGAAAAAGCTCATTAAAATAAAGGTATGCTGTTCATTAAAATATTTATTGTTCATAAAAACTTACTGTTCGCAGAGAAAAAATAATTGATTATCTACTAATTAATAATATCGTTAAAGAAGGAAAAAGTTACTGTCACTCGGGGAAATTTTTTTACTGTTCAGCTAAAATTTTAATTGCAGTAATTATTTTTTGTTGCTGATTATTGCTTAAATAATTACTTGTTATAAATATTTTCCGAAATAAATTACTTGATTTTCTGTTATTGTTAGGAAATTAATTCAAAGAGAAAAAATATATATTATATATAATATATATATATATATATAATATATTATATATATAATAATTATATATAATATTAATATATATATATATATAGGAAAAAGTGAATCTAAGGTACACCCCGGCTCCCACCTAAGGACGCGGCCTAGAATCACATCATTTCCTAAATTTTTTTTTGTGATCCGCTCCGTTGAACTTGATCTACATGTTCTTAAACTCAAAACACATCAATTTTGGGTGAACCCGTTGTGTTTTGACCATTCGTTGAGCCTGTAAAAAGTTCTATTCATTCGAAACCGTTAAAATACAGTGAGTGGATAAAGGGTCAAAACACGATGAGTTTACTCCAAAATTGGTGTGTTTGGTTTAAGAACGTGTAGATCCAGTTTCAACGAGCGCGATCGTAAAAAAAAAGAGGAAATGATGTGATTTTAGGCCGGTCCTTAGGTGGGAGCCTAGTGTGTCACCTTAGATTCACTTTTCCTCATATAATATATATATATATATATATATATATATATATATATATATATATATATATATTCTTGCAATGATTGCGTAAACTGTTTCATATTTATTAGTTAATATTGTTCTGTTCATTTTGCATCAATCTCATCCTTTAAAGTCATAATCTCCCAAATAGCTAGTCGATTGGTATTGAGAAAACTTTTTTTTTACCCATATCAGATTTCAAAATACCTAGACTAGTAAACTTAAATCGGACTTATGGTTAATCCTGATCATTCCAAGATTATCAAACCTGAGAAGTTCACCGGTGTTAACTATAAACGATGGGCTAATCAGATGGGCTCACCACCCTAGGTCTCCTATCTGCCATGGACACTCCTGAGTCTTCATCTAGTGGATCTTAACCCTCCAACTCTCCTGTGTATGGTCCTCAACCTGAACCAACTCCTTCCACTTTTGGTTCTGGTGCTAGCTCCTTTTCTAGCTCTATGAAATTAGAAGAAATAAACTATCATTGTTGTCATAGAATTCTTAGTGCACTTGCAAACAACCTTTATGACATATACTATGAGTTCAAAAGTGTTAAAGACCTATGGAATGCTCTTGAAGCTAAATAAGGCTATAATGATGCTGGAATTCTACGTTTCACCTCCTCTTCCTTAGTTCATGATGGTTGATGACAAACTCATAAATGAACAAATTCATGAATTCTTAGATTTCCTTCATCACCTCCAATCAAAGGGAAACTCCTTTATTGATGACTTTAAAGTTTCTTGTTTGATTGATAAACTCCCTCTCTCCTGGTCTAGATTTGCTAGAGATCTCTAACACAAATAAGGAGATCTAACCTTAACTGAAGCCCCCAAGGCTATTCGCATTGAAGACCAGCATAGACAAAATTCTAAAACCAAGACTGAAATGAAAGCTAAAGTGAACTTGGTAGATGATAAGCCTAAATCTAGGAATTTCAAACCCAAAGAGAAGAAATTCAACAAAAACCAGCAATCCTTCAACAAATCTTCCTCCAAATCAAATCACAACTCTTCCAACCACATGTCTAATGGAAAGTTCTGCTATGTCTGTAGTAGAACCAACCACCTGGCTCCCAACTGTTTCTATCGGAAGAAGAAACCGGCTAAACCCGCTCCTAAAGAAAATGGACCCAATAAAGTAAATATGATTGAAGAAAATCCAACTTCCTTCATGTTAGCCTCTTCATCATATCTTGTAAATTCTCTTACTTCTTCCACTGATTGGTACTTGGATTCCGGAGCTAATATTCATGTTTGCAATGATCGCTCTTTGTTTTCTACTTACCAGGAATCACGTGGAGGAAGCATAAGCTTAGAAAATGACTCCACTAAACAAATAATGGAAAGTGGATGCATAGAGCTCATCATGACCTCTGGGAAAGCTCTGAATCTGTAAAGCGTTTATCATGTTTATTCTCTCCATTGGAACCTTATTAGTGAATCTCTTCTCCTTTGAGCTGGAATAAGATTGTAAAAGAATCTAACAAATTTGTGATTACAAAGAACAATGTATTCATAGGAAAATGTTTTACTTGTAATGGCCTTTTCAAGCTCAATGTAATCAATTTCGGTTCTAATAAAATTTCTGAGTCTTCTGTTGCACAAATTATTGAGTCTTGTGATGTTTGTCATGGACGACTTGGACATGTTAATTTCCAAACTTTCCAGAGAATGATTAAATTGAACATTATTCCTAAATCTTCTCATGATTCCTCATCTAAGTGTGAGATTTGTGTTCAAGGGAAACACACTAAAAAACCCTTCAAGTCTATAACTTGAAACTCTGAACCCCTTGAATTAATTCATAGTGATGTGTGTGATTCAAATCGAGTTCTCACCCGAGGGGGTAGGAGATATTTTGTGACTTTTATAGACAATCACTCCAGATATTATTACACCTATCTTCTCAAAACTAAAGATGAAGTTTTAGATATGTTTAAGGTGTATAAAGCTGAATCTGAGAACTAACTTGACAAAAAGATTAAGATTCTAAGATCTGATGGGGGGGTATACCTCAAATAATATGACTGAATATTGCTAAGAACACAGTATTATTCATGAGGTAACTGCTCTCTATACAACACAGTCTAACGGGGTAGCTGAACGAAAGAACAGAACCCTAATGGACATGGTGAACTATATGTTACTCAGTTCAGGAGCACCTAAAAATCTCTGGGGTGAAGCTCTTCTTTCTGCCTGCTTCATTCTTAATAGGATTCCCCACAAATCTTCTGATATAACTCCTTATGAATATTGGAAGGGGAGAACTCATAGGTTGAACTTCTTCCGGGTTTGAGGTTGCTTGGCTAAGGTAGCTATTCTCGAACCTAAGAAGAGGAAAATTAATTCTAAGACGGTTGATGCTGTTTTTATTGGATATGCAATAGATAGCAATGTTAACAGATTTCTAGTCATTAACTCTGAAATCAGTGACATATCCAACACTACTATCATTAAAGATAGAGATGCAACCTACTTTGAAAATATCTTTCCTTTCAAATCCAAAATCTCAGAAAATCCTACATAATCTCTTTCTTTTGATCTACCATATTCTAGTTCTTCTCATCCTCTTGATATTGAACCTTGAAGAAGTAAAAGCGGTAGAATTCAAAAGGACTTTGAAGAAGACTTCTTTACCTTTCTTGTTGAAGGTGATCCAAGCTCTTTTAAGGAAGTAATGGATTCACCTGAATCTCATTTCTGGAAGAAAGTCGTTGATAATGAGATAAAATCTATCATGGAAAGCCATACTTGAATATTCACCGACTTACCTCCA